TGTCCCCACGGCCGCTTTGTCATTAACTTGTGCAAGACAGGAGGGGAATCGTGCAAAAATATTTCCTTCTCTATCCTGTCCCCAAAGCAGCCAGAGCCAATGGGGGTGGGGAGGCCATGTGTGTGTTGCACGGGCAAGGGTATGGTGTTGGTGCACAGAGCACAGTGTTGGTGCACAGAGCACAGTGTTGGTGCATGGGGTGCAGTGTTGGTGCATGGAGTGCAGTGTTGGGAGCATGGTGTCGGTGCTGCAGTTGCCATCAACTTCTCATGCATGGGGTGGAGGTCCCGGAGCTGGGCTGGGGGGCTTCACAGTGGGCCCTGAAGCAGTGCTACCTGTGCATCCCTGCAGCAGGAAGTGCAGTGGGAGCCAGGAAGGTTTCTGAGAAGCGGTGCTGACCTGTGCCAGGCCTCCCTGCGGTTTCCCCCAGCTCTCACCTCCTGGCACAGACACGCTACATGCTCATGCACCAGTGCACAGCTCAGGAGGGGCAGCTCCACCTGCACCCCTGATGTGGGGTGCTGGGATCCCCTGGCACACCAAGCAGTCCCTGCTCCTGGCGCTTGGTTTGTGTCTGTCCTGCGCCCACTGCACCCACTGCACCCAGCACTCATCCTGCCCTGCACTCTCTGTTCAGACTTCACCATGCGATCCCCACCAACCCCTGCACCGTGCACCCACCCTGCATCCACGCTCACCCTGTGCACCCAGCTCCCATCTCTACACCAAAGCTCCTGCACCAGTGCTGCAGCTGATCCAGCAGTGCCCCGTGGCCCCTCTGTGCTGCCCTGGTGTTGTGGGGCTCCAAATGGAGCTGGGGGGACACGCATGACTGACCAACTCAATGTATTGCCAGCTGGACGCATTGCCAACCCGCTGCGCTCCTGCTAACCCGGTGCATTGCTAACCTGGTGCATTTCCAGCCTCACATCAGAGGCTTGGAGAAGGATGCTGGGGGGGCTGTGGCACTGTGTGCCCACGGATGGAGGAGCTGGGGGGGGGGGGGCAGCTGACAGCCCTTCCCAGCCCTGTCCCGGCTGCTGAGCTCTCGGAGGAAGCCGCTGCTCTCTTTCACCCGGCGCTGTTAAAAATACCGCTCCCGATTTTAATACCGCTGCTATTTCGGGTGCTACTTCAGGCTGGGAGCAGGAAGTGAAACCACAGCTCCCGGCCCCGCTTGCCCCTCGCAGCCCCCTGGGCCACCCCTGGCCCAATCCAGGGTAAACGGGTCTATTTGAAGCCCAGCAGCCGAACGCCCGCCTTCACCTTCTGGGCTTTCCAGCGCAGCAGGCGGATGGCGCGCAGCCCGAGCCGCAGCACGGCGCCGTATTTGAACACCAGTTTGTAGAAGGCCTCGGTCATGAGTGCACCGCTGGGGTCGGCGTGCTTCAGCGCTGCCATCGGTGTGTACGCTGCGTTGGTTTGGTGCCGGAAGGGCGGCCGGGCTGCCTCGATCACCCGCAGCGTGTGCTGCACATGAGGACGTCACGGTCGCCTTCCCATCCGCACCTCCAACCCCTCATCTCCATCCCATCACCTCCATCCCCGTCCTCATTTCCGTACTGTTCACATTCTCATCCCCATTCTATTCCCACCCTCATCCGCATCATTTCCATCCTATCCCCATCCCATTTCCACCAAGTTTCCACCACCATTCCATCCCCACCACATCCCCATTCCCATCCCACTCCCACCCACATCTCTACATCTTCATTTTCCCATCTTCATCCCCATAATTTACAGCCCTACCCTATCGCCATTCCATTCCCACCCAAATTTCCATCACCATCCCATCACTATCCCATACCCATTTCCTTCCCATCTCCACCTCCACCCCCATCCTATCCTCATCCCATTCCTACCCAAATTTCCATTCCAGTTCCCATTCCCATTCCAACCCCATCCCCATCCATCCTCACCACATCCCCATCCCCATCCCCATTCCCATCCCACTTTGGGGGATTTTGGGGAGCAGAAGGAAGGAGTCAACACGGGAGATACCAGCGCCCAATTGCTACTCCTCATCAGTGCTAATTGAGCTCTCCTGTATCCTCCCATCCCACCCTGCAGCTCCACCATCACCTCTGCGATGTCCTCAGGGCTCTGCCCCAGGCTGGCAAAAACATCCCTGGAGTTCCGCAGGTAGAGATCAGTGAAGATGGCAGCAGTCTCAGGGTCGGTCTGCGAGTAGTCGGCACGCTCAGCCTCCTCGTACACCTTGGCCTCGAACTCGGTGGTCACCGGCCCCGGCTCCACCAGGCTGATGCTGCAGGGAGGGATTCTGAGAATGATGGTGGCTGAGCCCCCCCAACCCCCAGCCCCGCACTCACGCCACATTGAAGCGCAGTGCCTGCACCACCAGGCTCTCACAGAAACCCTCCACGGCGAATTTGGAGGCGGCGTATACGTCATTGAAGACGATGCCTGGGTGAGGAGCAGCGGTTGGGGGTGTGCAGGATGGGCCCCCCCCCCCCCCCAGCGCCCTGTCCCCCCATACCCTGCAGCCCCATCACGCTGCTGATGACCACGATGTGACCGCTGCGGCGACGCTTCATGTCTGGCAAAACCTCCTTCACCAGGCGCACCAGCCCGAAGAAGTTGGTGTCCATCAGCCCCTGCATGGCTGCCAGGCTCTGGCACTCCAGTGGCCCAATCATCCCCACGCCGGCGTTGCTGACTGTGGGGTGCAGGGGGGGTAAGGGCAGGCTGGGGTCCTCTGCACCCACGGAATGGGGAGTCCCCAACATGAGACCTTGGCACAGAGGTGTGGCATGGAGGGTTCCCAGGAAATGGGGGTCCTTGGTACAAAAGGACTGTGGTGTGCCTAATGTGGAGGGACCCCAGTGCATGAGGCACTGCTGGCCCAGGGGCTCCTTGTGCATAGGGTGGCCCTGACATGGAGGGTCCCCAGAGCCATATGGGAGGAGGGTCCTCAGCATGGGTTGTCCCCAGTGTGTGTAGTAAGTAACCCACGTGCAGAATGCTCCTGGTGCATGGGGTGACACCAGCATGGCATGCCCCTGGTGCAGGATGTCCCCGCTATGGGGTGCCCCTGGTGCACGGAGCAGCCCAGGCTCCATGAGTGGGGTTCTGCAGGGCCACACAGAGATGTGGCTCACCCAGGACATCGACACGGCGCCCGGGGATGCTGTCGAGACAGGCGCGGATGGACGCCTCATCACACACATCCAACTGCTTCACCTCCAGCGTCCGGCCCAGCGCTGACCCCGCCGCCTCCACCAGTGCTCCGCTGCGGGACATGTTCCTCACCGTAGCGATGACTGAGGGGGGCACAGGAGGGATCAGCCCCCCGTCCTCCCTATCCACACCAGTGGGACCCCCTGCTCTGCTCACCTCGGAAGCGGCGCTGCTTGTCCCGTGCCAGGCGCACCGCCAGCGCCAGCCCGATGCCGGATGAGCAGCCGGTGATCAGCACGGTGCGGGGAGCCATGGCCACAGCCTCACCACCCACCCCATGGCTTTAATAGCTGCTGGCCCCCAAATCCCAGCCCTAATCCCCCCCCTCCCCGCTAATCCTCCTCTGGGATTTGCGGGGCCGCGTGGCTGAGCTGCACGTGGTGCACAGAGGGGCCTTTGTGTGGCACCAGGGGGGCACTGCAGGGACGTGGTGGTGCGGGGGTGCTGCTGCCATGCAATGGGGCTGACCCCCCCCCCCCCCACCAGGTATGAGGATGGCTTTGGAAAGGAGAGAAACGGGAGCTCTGAAAAAATAACGTTTATTCTCACTTTGTATAAAACGCATCACAGTTCAACTGGCCTTGGGGGGGCATGGGGAGGTGTGGTGGGGACCCCAAGCCTCGCATCCTCCTGATGGGGAGGAGAGCATCTCCACGAGCCCCCTGGAGTTGGGGGTGAGGGGTCTGCAGCCATGACCCCGTGAGAATGGAGGGACTGGTGCTGGGGGGGACAAAGTGCAAGAGTGTGAGGGGCCACAGCAGCAGGGTGTGGGGTGAGCCCCTCTCGTCCCTGCGCTCACTGCTGCGATGGTGCCCTTGTGTGGTGGCAGGGCTGTGCTGTGCCGTGCTGGCTGTGTCGAGCTGTGCCAGTGCTGCTGCATGGCACTGAGCTGTGCCAACCTATGCCAGCAATGCCGTGCCAAGCTGTGCCAATTTCTGCCGGCAATGCCATGCTGAGCTGTGCCAAGCCGTGCCGGCAGCGCCAGGCTCATAGGGCCACGCAGGTGCAGTAGTGCCGCAGCTTGCAGGGCAGGATGCCACGGTTGATCTGGTGGAACTCCACGAGCTGGATGAGGTCAGCAAAGCGGGTCTGTCCGTCATCCATGGTGAAGTAGAGCCGTCCCTCCTCCTCGCTCTGCCAGGCAGGTGAGCATCAGGTCTGGCTGTCCTCCTTCCCCCCCCCCCTCCCTGTTTACCCTTCCCGCAGCCATGGCACTCACTGGCAGGATGAGATAGTGCTTGACTTTCTGCAGGTGGCACAGGGACAGCACGAAGCCCTTGGGGTTGCGCTGGCTCTCCCGCACCAGGAACACGCTGTGAGCCCCAGAGCAGAGTCACCCCAAAACCCCGAGGGGCCACATGTGACCCCTATGTCCCCCTCTGCCTTGCAATCCCATCCCCACCATCCCCTGGGCTCCACGACCTCCCTATACCCCCTGTGAGCCCTCTATGAACTATGGGACACCGTGACCCCCAGCGGCCGTGTGCACCCCAGGAGTCCCTGATCCCCTCTACCACTCCCCCTGTTCCGTACCCATCCACCAGCCCCTGGCGGCCGATGAGCTGCTGGGTGTCCTCCCGCGAGATGCGCCCGTGGAACCACGGCTGGGTGCGGTGGATGGCTGCAGGAAGAGAGGGTCATCAAGAGGGGACCCCCACCTACTCCGGGCAGGAACCCTTGAGCTGGGGGTCCCCATGCTCCTGCCCTACAGGCGCTGCTCACCAGCACTGAGTGGGGAGCTCTGGCAGGCGGCAGGCAGGCTGTACCGGTGTGTTGTCTTCTTCTGGCCGTGCAAAGCAAGCAGCAGAGTGAGCACACACACTGAGGGGGGGTCCCACTCCCAGCCTGTGCTCCCCACTCACCCTCCAGGCCTGAGCCTCCTCCAGCACTGCTGTCAGCACCTCGCTGGGGTTCTCAATCACCCGCCCTGTGCACCCTGAGAAGTCCATGGCCACCAGCGCGCTGTCTGACACGCTCTGCTGTGGGGACAGTGACAGCGAGCTGGAGGGGTGGGGGGCACCCCATGGATCAGGGCTGCACCCGGAGGGGGTGGGGGGCACTCACCAGTGGCGTGGGGGTGATCCAGGGGTGCTGGCTCAGGCGTGCTTGTGCTTGCTGGTAGTTGCGGTAGAGCTGCATGCCATACTGGGGGTGTCCCAGGGGGGCATGGCAGTGTGAGTATCCCTTAGCATCTCCCCAGTGCCTCCCAGTACACTTCAGCATCCTCCAATCTCACCCGCTGCCCTCCCAGCACCCCACCAGCACCCCTCTAACATCCCTCAGCATCCCACCAGCTTCTCTTCAGCATCACTCTGGTACCCCCCACTGCCCCCCCACCCTCCAGCTGGGGCTCACCTTGAAGAGGCGAAATGCTGCCATCCAGCAGGTCCGACTCTGCTCATCCTCACTGCAGAGCAGCTTCAGGCCCTTCACCCCACTGCGCACCTTGTAGGGCTGTGGGGCGAAGCCAGATCCATCACAGAGCAGTCCCTCCAAACTCCCAAGTCCCTGTCACCCTTCGGTGGGCAAAGACCCTGCGCAGAGCTGGGCAGGGTGCCCAGAAGGGACGCACCTTGATGCAGAACCCAAATTCGGTGGGTGTCCCATAGTGCTTCTTGCCCTGTGTCACGTAGTAGATGTTGGACTCGGTGAGGTCAGCGAAGTACTGCAGGTGCCGGGGGTCCTGGGGCCAGGGAAGGGGCATCAGGGGCTGCCCCCAATGCCTCTGGGCTCGGGGTGCCCTTGGCTGCACCTCACCTTGGACGTGCCCTTAGTGGAGTAGTAGAGCCCCGAGCGGCGCAGGGAGAAGTAGAAACGCTTCCAGACCTTGCGACTGGCCTCACGCAGCTGCAGGAAGCCCTGCACCTCGGGGCAGCTCCCAGAGTTCAGGAAGTTCTGGGGGGAAACAGGGGCTGAGGGGCAACCAGGCACAGCAGGGCCTCATGACATGGATCGGTCCCCATGGCACAGTTGGGTCCCAGTGTCACGTTTGGGTCCCCATCTCATTGTAAAGTACCCATGGAGTGACTGAGTCCCTATGTCACGGTGTTCCCATGGCACCACTGGTTCCCTTTATCATGGTTGGGTCCCCATGGCACCATTGGGTCCCCATGGCTTCGTTGAGTCCTCACAGAGCCTCCGAGCCCAGTGCCACCATACCTGGATGAGCTCCGAGTGCGCCATGCTCTTATTTGCCTCCAGACAACTGGACACCATCACCTCAGGGAAGAGGGACTGCGGGGGGAACAGGTGGGTCAGGGGACGCCCGTGGCTCTCCATGGGGTGAAGGAGCCCTGTAGCGTGGCTCACGTACCGCGTTGCTCTTGAAGAGCTCATACTTGGCGAAGTTCTTGCGGAAGACGAAGCGGCTGTCAGCACCGAGGGGCCACGCGCTCTGCACCTCCACCACCGACTCGTGGTCCTCCAGGCAGCGCTCTGTGGGGACGGGGGCTCAGTGGGGGGTTGCACCATGCCATGCCATGTCATGCAGTGCCGCGGACTCACCCAGTGCCAGGTGCTGGTGCAGCTCCACCAGGGCCCAGCTGTGGTCATGCAGCGCGTGCGTCCTCTGCACCAGCATCTCACAGAGCTGCCGTGCTGTTGTGCCTGCTGACACCTCCAGTGAGCGGCACGACCCGTCCTCGCTGAACACCTTCACCATCTGTGAGACCATGGTGGGTCAGGGCCCCATTATCCTGCAGGAAATCCCAGGAGCCCCCAGACCCACTACCAGGCACTCACGTGGCAGGCGCCTTCACGAGGGGGTCCCTGCCCGCCGGGGGGGCTGTTGAGGATTGGCGAGTTGGAAGGGCTGCAGAGCTCAGGGAAGGGATTGGGGATGTTGGGCAGTGATGAGGCGCGTGGCTCCTCCTCTGACAGCGGCCGGCTGTGGGGCAGAGATGGGCTGAGCCCCCTGTGTGCCCCCCAGCCCACCCCACACCGCAGGGCTGAGCCCCTCGCACCCACCTGGTGCTGTGGATGAAGAGGGGCTGCGAGCGGCGCAGATCGGTGGCAGGCGGCCCCTCGCCCACGTCCCCCTCCTGCTCCACGCTGCCCACCCCGGGGGGGTCCCGGACGCAGCTCTGCTGGGCCCCCCCGTCCATGGCATCATCTGAAAGGCAGAGAATGGGGGCTGCAGCTGGATCTCACCCAGCAGCGCCCCAGTGGGGTTTCACTGATGCTCAGATGAATGATTTGTGAGTCAGTGTGGGGGTGACTCAGCACTGCTCCACCTGCCCCCCCGGCACCCCTGGCTCCTGCCCACCCCCAGGGGGCTGCGTGCTGCCGGTACTGCCATCCTCAGCCCAAAGATTTGGCACTGCAGTGGAGAACGCAGCTCCATATGAGACAATGGAGAATCTCTCACGCCTCCATTTCCCGTGTGGGAAGCGCTCCAGTGCTCCAGCATCACCAGTGGGAGATCGGTGGTGCCAAGGCGGTGGGTGAGAAGGCTGAACAGAGCCAAAATGGGGCAAACTGGGCTGAAACCAGCCAAGCGGGCTGAACCGGGCTGGGCTGAGACATGCCGGGCTGAAGTGGGCCAAGCTGGGATGTGCCAAGCTGGGCTGCGCCGTGTTGTGCCGGGATGAACTGTGCCATGTTGTGCCGGGATGAGCCGCGCCGTGAGCGCCGCGCCGGCAGAACCGTCATCACAGCGCGGTATGGCCCAGCCCAGCCACCTCCTCGGGTCCGGCCAAACCAGTTCTGGAGGCCGCTCCCAGCTCCACCTCACCGTGCTGGCATCCGTGCCGCGCCGGGGCCGGGGGCGAGGAGACGGAGACCGCCGTGGGAACGGCCCCCCGCCGCGCCGTGCCGCCCTCGCCCATGGCTCCATGCCCGCTGCCGGCACCCACACACGAGGGGACACGGGGACACGGCGGTGCTCCAGGGGACCCTGCGTGGCTCGGCACAGATCGGCATGACCTGGCGTGGCTCAGTGTGGATTGGCATGGCCTGGCATGGCGCGGCACACGCTGCCCAGGACAAGCAGAAGCAAGCAAAGCCCGGTGCGGCAGTGCGACCGCCTGGCACGCGGCACACGTAACACACGCGTGTGTGGCACCGTGCTGTGCTGGTGGCACTCGGGGTTAATCATTCACCCGCGGCCGCTCCATCCCCACTTCCCGATGGCGATGTTGTGAGATCCAAGTCCACGGCCGGGTGGGCACCGGGGCCCTGCCCGCATGGTGCCACAGCACCGTGGCACTGAGATGGACAGGGCCACCACCATCCCCATCCCTGTCCCATCCCCATCATTATCCCAGCCTCAGCCCCATCCCACTGCTCTCTCCCCTCATCCCCAAACCCTGCCAGCTCTTGGTGTCCCTGCCTAGTTCTCAAAGGGGAGATGTAGGGATAACAAAGGTGTTGGGGGTGGGTAGGGTGTGGATGGGGACCCCACAGAGCCCCACTTCCACCAGCCCCTCACCATGGCCTCAGGTTACCCCGACCCAGTGGCTGTGGCAGGGTGGTGACAGCAATGGGGACATGGAGTATCCCTGGGGTCTGGGACAAAGGGAGGGCCTTGGGGCTATGGGGTGGGGGTAGCAGGGACACCGGGGTTCAGGTGCCAGGGCTGCGGAGCAGGGAGATGGGGGTCACCACACTGTATCCCATAGGGCCAACAGAGACAAGGATTGGTTCCAGTGGCCACTACAGTTATGGGACAACGTTCCTGGGGCTATTGGTTTTAAGGGATGGGGTCTGAGGGCCACCAGGGTTAAAGGGATAGGATCCCAGGGCCACTGGGAAGAAAGGGTGGGATCCCAAGGCCACCGGCGCTATAGGGCAGAGCTCCCAGGGCCACCAGGGTTATGGAATGGGGGTAGAGGGTCACCAAGGCTGTAGGGATGGGGTCCCATGGGCTGCAGGTGAGGGCTGGCTGGGTGCCGGTGCCGTAGAACTGGGATTCCTGTGGCTACGGGGCGTTGGCAGCAGAGGAGGAAGAAGAGGAGCCGGGAGGAAGATGGGAAGAAAAGAGCCGGGATGGGGGAGATGGGAGCAGCACCTGGTGGTCCTACAGCACAGGGACCCCCACCCTAACCCCGCTCCTACCTGCAGCGCTCGCCGCTTCCTGCCGCCCTCCCGCCGGACCGGGCATTCCTGTTTTTCCCCGGCTTTATCTACCTGCGCCAGCGCCCGCCCCCGCCTGACATCACAGCACCGGGGCGGCCGCGGCCCTACAACGGCCCCACGATGGCCCCCACCCCGCGATGGGACCAACCCAGCTTTGGTCCCACAGGGGATGGGGAGTTTCCCACAATGCACTGGGGTGACCCCGAGGCCGGCCAAGATGTGGGGCACAGGTGGGTGGGAGGCAGGAGGGGGGGATGCCTTCCCCTGCCCAACTCTGCCCCATGGGGCGGCCAGCCAAGGTGTGGGGCGGGACCCTTTCAGTGGGAACCATGTGTGGGGGGCTGGAGTGGGGATGGGGTTCCCCAGTGGCATCTGTGGGGGTCTCCTGGGCGATGCATGAGGCGCACACAACTGGAGATGCATTGAGGGTGCCCATGGGGTCTCCATGGGGGATTTGGGGTCCCTGTGGGGCCCGGGGGTGTCCCCGTGGGTCTGGGGGCCTCCCCCATGGGGGGCACAGGGGATCCCTGTGGGGTGTTGGGGTTCTCCTAAGGTCATTGAGTCTCCAGAGGGGTTCCCACGGGGTATCCCTCCGCGGAGGATCCCGACGGCCCCGTGGGGGTCCCGTGAGGGTCCCGTGAGGGTCCTGTGGGGCTGCGGGCTGTGGGTCACACTGCGGGGGTCCCATGGTGGGGAGGTCAGCGGGGGTCCCACAGGTGCAGTGCAGGCTCTGTGGTTCTGTGCACATCCCCCGTGGGCCTGTGGGTCTCTGTGTCCCCAGGGGGGTTTCTCGGTATCCCCTCGAAGTCCTTCTGTGACCCCACGGGGCTCCGCGTGTCCCCACGGGGTCCCTCTGCGTCCCCACGCTGCGCAGGGGGCAGCGGGACGCCCTGCTGCTATACGATCCTCCCACCAGCAGAGGGCGGTAGCGCGGAAGGAGCGGAGCAAACGAGAGGGCGGCGCAGAGCGGCCGGAAGCTCTGTGTCACGTGGCGGCACCCGGAAGCGGCGGCAGGAGGGCGGCCATGAGCAGCGGCGGCGGTAACGGAGCGACGGCCGTTGGGACCGAGAGTGAGGCCGGTGACGGCTTTGTTTCCGGTTCCGGTTCGGAGCGGCGAGTTCACATCATGGTGGAGTACTGGTGAGGGTCCCGCCGCCTCGGGGGGGGCACGGAGGGGCCCTGAGGGGCGGCGGTGCTGGGAGAGGGCGGAGGAGCGCGGGATGTGGGGCTGCGGGGCGGGGAGGGGCGCAGCTTTTGGGTTCAATCCCACCCGCAGCGAGCCCTGCGGCTTCGGGGCCACCTACGAGGAGCTGGCGAGCGCCGTGCGGGAGGAATACCCCGACATCGAGATCGAGTCCCGCCTGGGGGGCACAGGTGAGCTCCGGGGCGGGGGGCTGAGGGGCTCCGGGGGGGGGCTTTGGATGTTGCTGTGGTAATATGGGTGCCCCCGGGGGGCTCTCGGTGTTTCCCACGAGGAAAGGTGTGTGTGTGTGTGTGGCTTGTTTTTTTTCCCCTCCCTGGTGCTGCACTGGGTCTCAGCCCCATCTGCTGGGGGGTGCTGGGACTGAGCCCGTTACAACCTCGCACAGAGGTGGGGGGGTGGGGGGAGTTGTACCTCACTCCCTGAGTGCTGGACTTGGTGGGGTGACCTCAGCCCCACATCTGTTCCCCCCGGGACCCTTCCAGCCCCATCCTGCTGCGGGTGGTGGTTTGGGGCGGTGGGGATGGGAGTGAGGGGGGGCACAGCTTATGGCTCCCTCTGTTTACAAGGCGCCTTTGAGATTGAGATCAACGGGCAGCTGGTCTTCTCCAAGCTGGAGAACGGAGGCTTTCCCTATGAGAAGGACGTGAGTACCCGGCCTGGTGCCCCCCGGGCTGTGTGGGGGGATGGGGCTCAGAGGTGTGGGGCAACTGAGAGTCACACGTGTGCCCCCCCTTCATCCCCACAGCTGATCGAAGCGATCCGCAGAGCCAGGAATGGGGAACCGCTGGAGAAGATCACCAACAGCCGCCCCCCCTGTGTCATCCTGTAGCCCTGCGCCTGGTGGGGGTCTCCTGTCCCCTCAGCACCCCGTGCTTTGCTGCTCCCCGTTAACTTCCTGCACCCCTGGGGACGCTGGGGGAACGTGGGAGCATAAGGAGGGGAGCTGCCATGGTGCTGGTGTCACTGGTCCAACTATGCCTATTCCCTGAGGCCACGTCCACACCATTCGTGGGCTGTAACCGTGGCACTTACCTGCCTGCTCCCCTCCTGCCCCTCCCTCCAGCAGCAGCACAGAGGGGCTCATTCTCAGCCCCTGGGGGGTTTGGGGCACTGCACGGCCCCGCTGCCCCCTGACCTGTGAGGCCAGTGAACGCCCAGCCCAACCTGGCCGTCAGAGGGGACGCGGCGGCTTCAGAGCTCCCAAAGGTTTATGCAGAGGAACGTAAACTTGAGTGTGGTTCGTTAATGATTACAGCTTCTCTGATCACTGTTTAAACAGGTATGAGGGCAGCAGGGACCGGCTGGCCATGGGAACCCCTGCTTGGCTCTATCCCCACAGCCCCGGGGTTCGTTTAACGGCCACGAGCTTCTCCTGCTGCCCTGTTCCCAGGCTCCTGGCTCTCACCCTCCCCACGTAATGACTCTGCCCTTTGCCACAGGGCAGCTGAGCCCAGGGCAGTGTGGCCGAGCCAAGGTGGCTGTCCCCTATTTATTAAGTACTGTCTGTAAGCCCCATGATCCAGTGCTGAATAAAGGATGGAGGAAAACATTGCTCCTCTTTCCCTGTGTCCCTGGAGAGTGTGGTGGGGACACGGGCAGTGAAAGCAGGACTAGGTCAGCTCCCTGCTGCCTTGTTCTTGGCTGCAGCCCAACGGGATCAGGGCTTTCCCTCAGTGCTATGGTGACAGCAGCTGATGGAGGAGATGGGAGCAAACCACGCAGACAAGCAGAGTAGAAAAAAAAAAAAAAAATCATATACAATGATCAAATATACATCCAGGTGTGACACCGTCAGCTTCACAGGAATCCAGCAGGAGCCCAGGCAGCCCAGCATCCACCTGCTCAGTGCAAGTCAGTGTGTCCAGCGCAGCTGGGCGCCGGTGAGGAGGGGGCTGAGGCACAGTGGTGGTGGAAGAGCCTTTGGGACAGCGGCAGTGTGACACAGGTGTATGGTGATGAGTAGCAGTGTGATGGGGCTCCCAGTCCTGTGCTGGTTGGGGTGATGCTGCTTCCATCTTCCTTATTCCTCAAGGAATTGTGTGGGGCTTGAGCATCCATCTTGGTGGGGCTTTTGGGCTCCTTTTGGGGGTCCTCTGTGCCCACCCCTGTGTTGCTGCACTGTCCCACGGTGCCCTGGGCTCTCTTGCAGCATAGGGCACCCCATGCAGAGGGGACAGTCCCGGCCCCACGTCCACTGCTGGCCTCACGCCATCCCTCCCCAAGCTGCCTCGGTGAAAGGGGGGGGTGGGCCATCAGTGGCCCTGCCCTACACAGCCACGTCCTCAGGCTCAGCCAAACCCAGGTACTCGGGGTTCTCAGCTGCCGGTGTGGAGCTGGGACCACCCTCAGGGCTCCCAGCTTTGGGGGGGTCCTGGTTCCAGTAGTAAGGGTTGTCAAATGCCTGGCTGAAGGTGGTGGGGACCGGCAGCCCCGGGGGGGCCAGGTACTCAGGGTTCTCCACGGCGCGGCCATAGGGCCCCAGGAAGGGGTGCTTGGTGTCCTTGATGAGCCCGTTCTTGCCTTGGTGGCCCTTGGGTTTGTCTGGTGGGGACGGCGGTGCGCAGGGGTGCCGGGGGGGTGACGGCCGCTCCCCAGCCTGATTCACGTACTCTGCAGGGACAAGGGATGTGTCAGCAGCCAAGCAGGGTTCTTTCTCCCATCCCCACGGTCCCATATTGCCCTACCTGGCATAGTGGTATGGGGGGCTGGGGTGGTGAAGCCCTCAGGGTCCAGACCCTCGCTCTCATCACCTGGCAGTGCAGTGGGGTCCTCGCTGTACCGTGTGGCTGGGGGGCTCGGCAGGGCTCCCTTGGCCCCAACATCCACCTCCAGAGCCTCTGGCACAGGGCACTCTGGCCCCTCCACCAGGCTTTGCGGTGGAAAGGGGAAGGCAGCTGATTCCTCGCCCTCTGTTGTGTCGACTGGGGTCTCTGCCGTGCTCTGTGGAGGCAAGAGAGCATGGAGTTGGGCATGGTGTCGTGGGGTTGCATGGGGTCTGTGGGGTCTCCAGGTAGCGTTAGGGACTTTGCACCCTGTGGACCCTGCAGCAACATGCTGCCCCAAGCTGGCCCATACCCGCGTGGAGGAGATGCGGCTGCGGTAGGCAGTGGAGGTCTCAGCACTGAAGAAGCCCTGGTGAGGGACCAGGTACTCCTCAGCATCCACCAGGTCGTCCATGTCCTCCTCCTCCAGCAGCGCCCGGTAGAAGGTGCTGTCCATGGAGCTGGGCAGCCCAATCATGTCGTTCTGGGGATGAAGGGGGGCTGTCAGTGCCTGTTGGGGCACTGCTGAGGACGAGACCCCCAGGACCCTGTACCTGGATGACCACAAAGCGCTGGGGGTCACGGGCCATGCGGGAGAACTCGGTGACCAGCTCACGGAACTTGGGCCGGCACTCGGAGTCGATCATCCAGCCTGGGGCAGAGCCAAGTGCCGTGAGGGGGGCGGTGGGGTCCTGGCCACCGTGTCCCCATGTCCCCCCACTCACATTTCACCATGATCATGTAGACATCGATGGTGCAGATGGGCGGCTGCGGCAGCCGCTCGCCTTTCTCCAACAGATCGGGGATCTCCCGTGCTGGGATCCCATCGTATGGTTTTGCCCCAAAGGTCATCAGCTCCCACACAGTGACACCTGAGGATACGAGGACATGGGTTAAGTGTTGGTTTGGGACCCCCTGCCCCACCACAGCCAGCACGGGAACGCACCGTAGCTCCAGACATCGCTCTGGTGGGTGAAGCGCCGGCGCAGGATGGATTCCAGCGCCATCCACTTGATGGGGACCTGGGTGGGTGGATGGAGAGGTGAGCAGGACCCTCTGGGGACACCACTCTCCCTGTCACCCCATCCCCACGTCCCACCTTGCCCCCATCAGCGTGGTACTCGGTCTCGTCGATATCAAGCAGCCGTGCCAGCCCGAAGTCTGTGATTTTGACGTGGTTGGGGCTCTTGACCAGGACGTTGCGAGCAGCCAGGTCGCGGTGCACCAGCCGCACCTCCTCCAGGTAGCTCATCCCCTGGGCAGCAGGCATTAAGCTCTGCACCTCCGACCCCCCACACCCCCCAGCAGCCCCCAGTCCTACCTTGGCGATCTGCACACACCAGTTGAGCAGGTCCTGGGAGCCGATGCGGTCCTTGTTCTCCCGCACGTAGTCCAGCAAGCAGCCGTAGGGCATCAGCTGCGTCACCAGCTGCACCGTGGAGGTCAGGCAGATGCCCAGCAGCCGTGACACATAGGGGCTGCCCACCCCGGCCATCACATAGGCTTCCTGCAGGCAGCCATGGACAGGAGGTCAGGTTGGCACAGATTCCCCAGCCCCGTGCCCACCTCCACTGCACTCACATCCAGGATCTCCTTGTTGGCTTTAGGCGAGGTGTTCTCCCGCAACACCTTGATGGCCACCGGGATCTTCACGCTCTCCCCATCGGGGATCCAGATGCCCTATGAGGGGGTCGGTGAGTGAGGAGGACACAGACGGTGCCATCTCACTGACAGTGCCTCCCACTCCTCACCTTATAGACAGTTCCGAAAGCGCCGGAGCCCAAAACCTTCACTTTCTTCAACTCCGTCTCCTTGAGGATGCGCATCTGCGCTTGGTTGGGGAGGGCCCCGCTGGGCGTCAGCGGCTCCACCAGCTGTGAGGGACAGGTGAGTGAGGAGGAACAACTCTTTGAGCCCTCCCTTGAGGTTGCCCCACATCCCCACCTCGGTCTCCTGCAGCAGCCGCCGCATGGTGTGCTTCCTCTCCTGCTGCCGCCGGCGTTTGACGCAGACGACGGTGATGAGCAGAAGGACGACGACCAGCAGAGCTCCCACCACACCAGCAATGATGGATGTCACCTGGCTGTGGGATGGGAGGTGACAGGGGACGTGGGGGTGTGGTCACCCCCTGATGCTCCCCCACGGGGTGGGGGTACCCATGGTGCTACCTTGGCTTCTGGTCCACGGGGCAGCCGTCCTCATCCCGGATGGTGCACCTGGTAGAACACAGGGTGGGTGAGCATCCAGCAGCCCCCCCTCCACACCCCTGGTCACAGTGTGTACTCACGAGTGGGTGCAGTTGGTGGGGCAGAGCTGGCAGACCCCCTCCTCATCAGGGTATTTCCAGATGGGCACAAAGGAGGCATCCACCTTCACCCCGCTGGGGCAGCGCCGCACACACTGCTGCCCATCCTTGTAGTGCGCGCATGCCACGCACTGATCTGCATCCTGAGGGGTGGGGGGCACAGGGGTGGGGGGTGAGGGACCTGGCAGCAGTGCCATTCCCATGCTGGTGTCCCCATGTCCCCATGCTCACCGATCCAAAGCAGGTCTCGGTGCCGTTCTGAGGCTGGCACTCAGGGTGGCAGGGCAGGCAGCGCGTGCCGTTGGTATGCTCCCGGATGGCACTGCGGGGCGGTGGGAGTGGGATGGGTTTGGGATCGATACAGGACAGTGCCCCACTCCCACTGCCAGGCTCAGCACATCCCTCCACTCACCCATCCAGCAGGTTGCAGGAGGCCACGCACTCCTGGCCCCGCAGGAAGCGCTCACAGGAGACGCACTGAGTGGGGCCGGGCCCCCAGCAGTGCCCGTGGGCGCAGAGGTGGAAGCACACCAGGCCCTCACTCTCTGGGGAGGTCGGACACAGGGTTACCCCCATGCCCCAGCCTGGCCCTGGGGAACATGAGCAGGGCTGGAGTGGGATTGGGGGGGTCCTCACCGCACTGCTCGGGGGCTTTGTTGTGGGTCTGGAAGAGGTGTTGGCGGGGGTGGCGGAAGATGCTGTCCCAGGGCACCTTCTGGAGGAAGCAGAGCTGGGGGTTGTGGTGGATGAGCACCATCCCACTGCTGATCTCCTGCAAGGCACGCAGCCCCAGTGCCCGCACCGCCAGGTCCTGCAGCGTCAGTGAGTAGGCACCGCTGCCAAGACACAGCCAGGTGAGCACCCACGTCACCCCTGTGTCACCCATCACATCCCTCTACGTCCCCATCCCCGCTCACTTGTGCAGCACACGGCCACGGATAACACGCAGGTTCTGAAAGACACCCAGGTCGTCCATACTGGGTGGCCAGGCAGCAATGTACAGGTACCCTGGGGGAGGGAAGGAGGGCACACAAGTGTAACCACTGCTCGCTTTGTGCCCTCAGCTCAGGGACGTGTCCCCATCCCCGAGCACTCACCTGTCAGCTCCTCCAGGCTCTCAAAGACCGATAGCAGCTGGGGGTCCAGGGGTGCTGTGTTGGTGCTTGGGTCCCTGTGGGAGATAGGAAGGGTGGGTTGGTGGGACTGTGGGGGGTCCCAATAGTTCCCTCTGGAATGGGGTATGCAGTGCTTACCCAGCAAAGGTCTCGGGCAGGAAGGCCAGGCTACCAAAGATCTTGGTGCAGCCAGCAAAGTGCCGGATGTTGGAGGCATTGACAGCACGGACACCCTTGAGGAAATCCACCCCCAGCCCGTAGCACACTGTGGGGAGCAGAGAGGGGGTGGGAGATTCACCAGGACCTCCCCAAAGCGCTGCCTGCTCAGCAGCATGCCGCAGGGCCCCCCAGGGCACAGCAGCCCCTTGG